TTTCTAGTATCCCTTTTAAATGGATCCCTCACTGGTTTCTGTATCTCCCCTCATTCCAGAACTCTGAGAAATTTTAACCTCCAAAACCACTTGTAGATGTTAAGGTTAGAAAAGACCTCTAAGATCACTGTGTCCAACCATTAACCAGCACCATCATGTTCACCACTAAACCAACTCCTTAAGTGCCACATCCACATATTTTTTTAAACACTTCCAGGGATGGTGACTCCACCGCTTCCCTGGGAAGCCTGTTCCAATGCCTGAACATCCTTTCAGAGAAGGATTATCTCCTAAATTCCAATCTAAACCTCTGCTGGTGCAACTTGAAGTTCTTTCCTCTCGTCCCATCACTCGTTTCTTGGGAGCAGAGCCTGACCCCCACCTGGCCACAACCTCCTGCCAGGGAGTTGTAGAGAGCAATAAGGTTCTCACTAAGCCTCCTATTTTCCAGGCTGAGCCCCCCCAGCTCCCTCAGCCATTTCTCATAAGGCTTCTGCTCTAATCCTTTCATCCTCTATTGTCCTTCTCTGGACACGCTCCAGCACCAACCGTTTCTCATCAACTATAATGTCTAGTTTTCCATCTATAATGTTTAGTTAGGAAAAGAAACACCATGCCATGATGCAAGGAGCCCCAGTGCAATGCCTTGGAGGTTCAGAGAAATTCAGGAGAACAGCAAGTTTGACAAACAAGACCTGGGATTTGTGATTTGTCTCCACTGGTCTCTGTGTCCCCCTCCTACCACTGCAAAGAGCTGAGAACGGCTCAGTTTTTCATACCAGCAGCTCAATCGTGTGTATTTTTGTTGGCTGCTCCAAAGGTACATACTAGACACTGGAGTTAGCTATTAAAAATGCATTTAGCTGTTTCTGCTTCCTCAAAAATGTTCACGTCCTCGTTCCCCCCTGTGAGAAAAATCACATGCCGAGGGAGAGCCGTGCCCGTTGTGGTGAACCATCTGCCAAGTGGCGAGCACAGCTAATCCAAACCTCTGCTGCCCTTTGTGACAGAAAGGGATGCAGGTCCCTGAGGGATGGCTTTGCTGGCTGCCACCTGAGGAGCACCACTTGAGCTGCCACCTGACCTTCCTCTGAGCCAGCAAACAGATTTGGGATTGCTGAAGGCACGGGACTGTCGTGGAGAATCTGTTTTCAGTCCTCATCCAGCACGAATCCCAAGCCATAAGGAAACTAGAAAACTTGTAAGGGATGGATAGATTCCCTCTGAAGCCCCAGGACAGGGAAAGATGCAGGGGGCTGGGACTTAAAGGCTCTCTGCAAACAGGGGCTGTGCCATAGGAGGCCAAACACAGACCTGGGGGACTGAAGCTCATCATTTGTCCCCAGTTCTTGCAGGGTTTGTTCAGATGCTTTAAGCACCTCCACAACTGGCAGTGCTGATAGTGGCCTTGATCATTTTGAGGGTTCTGGAAAAAAAGGAGGCAGAGTCCCTCGGAGGACTCTGTTTAGTCCAGTCCAACTTACTGAGCTGAAACTCCTCTTCTTCCAGCCCCCCTTAGAAGTACAGCTGAAGCAGGATCAGGCCACTCTATTTATGGGACTCTCCATTTCCCCCATTCCTTCAGCCCCAGCTGCCTGAGCCCTTTCAGCACAGGGCACGCTGGATTTCCCACGACAAGCATGAGGGCCCCACGCAGTTGGGACGTCTCGGCATGACGCCAGGGCCTCTCCCCAACCCTGCACGCACCAGACACAGCTCGACTCTTTATTGGCTGACCCACAGCTGGTGGCTGGGGCTGGGGAGCAGGAGACAGACCCAAAAAGCCTGCTGGAAGGCAGGCAGCCCAGTGACACATCTCATCCCCTCAAAGCGTGACGCTGATTGCCGGAGTGGGAGCGATGGTGCTCCAGGTGTGCAGAAACAACCGCGTTTCCTGAATCCCAAGGGATCCAACTTAAAGGGGTCTGCTCGTGTTCCTTTATCCTTCTGTGCTTTCCTGCACTCAGTTACATACAGAGCATAGGGATACCTAATCCCACACTTTCCCACCACAACCTACCCCCACCTTGAAACAGGTCCCAGTGCAACGAAACGTTCCTGGCTTCAGACTTCCAAAGGCAACCATAAACACTGGGGATGACTAAAATGTGAACATTATGAAAAATACACTGGCAAGGACTCCAGGCTGTGAAGCTGGAAAGCCAGGTAGCTTAAAGAAGTGCCAGATATTCAACTGGTCTCCAAGATCAGCAGATGTTTTTCAGCCAAACTTACTAACTCAGATGTGTTTCCTAAATCAGAACCAGAGACGAGAATGTGTGTTGCGTATTGGGACCATATCAAGTACTTTTCCAGCACTGTTAAGATCTGTTAATAAAAAAGAAATATGGAGGGGGTTGGGTGTAGATAGAAAAAAAAACTAGGCCTGCCTAAAGGATTCTGGATGCTTACCTAAATCCTGTAAAAAAAGGAAAATTCCTTCCCCAAACTGAAAAGACTCAGATGCAATTAAGACAGAGATACCATCAGCCCATTTCCCAGTCTGGTATTAGGCTATTCAGCAAGAGAAGCGCAGAATACAGTGGCTGCAGCTGATACAGTCTTAGCGATATTTAGGTGGTTATTTCATTTTTTTTAAAGTCAATTATCTGAAAAGAAACCATTCAGCAGCTCACTTTTGAAAAGCAGCCTCCCTCACCTGGAACAAGGCAATCTGCGACAGCCCTGCAATTAAAACCTCATGCACTGGTTGATTTGTCCCTCCACCAGTGGCTCCTTTATAGCCAGAGAGACGGAGTGCATGGCTGAAGATCCTCTCTGCAACTCTGCCACAACTTTGAGGAGATTTACAGGGATTTGCACATGTTTTTCTCGCTCGAAGAGAGGTTAGGTGGCACGATTAAGAGATATTCTAGGAAAGTCCCAGTAATTTCTGGATGAATTATTTTATACCATTATATAAACTTTTTATGCATACATATATATATATATATATATATATGTATATATATATATATACATATATATATATACATATACAAGCTGCCCTTTCATGTGTAAAGCAATAGGACAGTTATAAGCAGATAAGAAGAGTTGACAGCTTTTCCTGTATCATGGGAGATGGAAGAGCAAGGACTTTCTGGGTCACTGAATCCACAGGCTTGTGATGTACTTTAAAACCCTTACAGAAACTGATATCCCTCAACTAAAAAAAGAAAAACAAAAAAATAGTATAAGACATTTTATAGGTAGGGATTTACTACACTGCAGTTTAAAAAACAGAATCTGCCCCTTGGAAAAAGTGTTCCCAACTGCCCAGCTATCTCAGGAGCTGCTGCCAGAGATTTTTAATTCTGGGTGGATCTCTCCTTCCTACATCTGCAATGCAAGGAAACCTGAGAAAAACAAGCTGCTCTGCCTTTCAGGTGGGAGAGAGCAGGAAGGACACAGAGGAATCACAAAGGAAGGTTCTGCTCAGCAGAATCTTGCCATGGAACAACCAGGCTGCACACAAATCCCTGAAATCCATACCAGTCACAGCATCCACGCCAGCTGTATGTCCACCACTTGGTGGATGCCAAAGCAGAAGATGAACCTGCAGAAACCAGCTCAACCTGCCAGAAACCTCCAGCCTTCCCACCAAGGAAGCTGCAAAGCTGGGAAGGGAAGGGAAGCAGTGCAGCCTACAGACAGTTCCTTTCTCCTTTGCTGGCAGGACTCACCTCCAGTCCTATGGGAATAAACTGAGACAGAGACCAGAGGGTGACCCAATTGCCACTTCTTTCCATGACCTTGCCAGGGCTGCGAGAGGGTCAGCTGCAATAGCTAAGAAGGAGGTCATCACAGGCCTGTGCTCTTCTCCACCCAGCCCAGCTCCCAGAGCACATGGCTCTTGGGGATTCATTTACTGGAGGTTTCAGAGGGACACCTGTTGCATTACATGGATCGATCTGGTTACAGAAACCAACCATCTGCCCCTGTGTTGGACCAACCAAAGTCTGGAAGCACCCAGACAGTGAAGAGGATTAATATTACATTTCCATCTGCACTGCAATGTGAGCTGCTCATCAGCAACAACCTGAAGATGTCTCTGAGATCCTAAATCTTACCTTGCCCTCAGAAAAATGCAAGTTAGGGGAAGAGCAAGAGGAGCCATGACAATCCAATTCCCTCACAGCACAAGTCACATCCACAGCAACACTTTAAACTTGCTCTGTGTCCCACGTGGCTAAATGCAGGGAACATTAACAGGTCACATCAGACACATCTAAGCGGTGACAACGCCAATATAAAACCATTGACTGGGTCTGCACCAACGTAACAGACTTTAAAAAGTATTAAAACAGACTGTTTATTACAGCATATGATGTGTTATATTAATTTACACAATGATATATATATATATATATAAAAACAGCCATTGATGATGTACAGTAAATTGGACATCAACAGGAATATTAAAACTACTGATACTCATGCACGTGACATGCATATGGTTTTTTTTTTTTTTTTCTTTTTCAAAAGCAGTTTTTACACAATATAATGAAGTTACTAAGCCTTGTTCAGCTGCTCCAGCAGTTAACTCTGGGCACCACTGGCGTCCGCAGGGGGACTCCCGGGAGATTGGAACAGAGTGCACTCCAGAGAAGGCAGACAGATTGAACAGGAGCCCTTTTCTGGTGGGGGAAGGCTGGGGGAGGACAGGAGTGAGTTTCAAAAAGAGAATCAACAAGAAAAGGAAAAAAAGAACCAGGCCAGAGTAGCAGGAGGAAGAAGTTCAAGATGTGGCAACAGCAGCAGCAGCAGAAAGGGACAAGCAAAAGCATGAAGACCACCCACACTCCCTCCCCCTTATTCCCTAAAAACTTGCGACCTTAAGCTGTCGATATCCTGTATAAGACCCAGAACTGGAAAAACTGGGCAAGGGAGATCCATACCCAGAAACATCAGCCTTTTTTCAAAACCTTCTGACACCACGTGCTGGAGGCTGTTCACCACTGAAATGGCAGTGTTACGTTGGGTTTGTTTTTTTTTTTTTATATAACGGTCTTTTATTTCCATGTAAAAGGCACTAGTATCCACCCAAGTTCTGAAGACAAGTGACATAATTTACCTTTAAGTTTTAAATATTTGTATAAAAAGAAAAAAAAAAAATCTGTGGAAATATGTACAAAAAAAAAAAAAAAAAAAAAAAAAAAAAAAAAAAAAAAAAAAAAAAAAAAAAAAAAAAAAAAAAAGCACCTTGCTTCCGAAAGCAGAAGCAGATACATTCCACCAAGTCACCTCACTAGACGGTCGTCATGAGCTTCAGGGAGCCTGACCGAAAGCGGAGGATCTTCTTCTTGAGGTTATGGGAGGCTTTGATTTTGACAAAGGCCTTCGCCGCATTTTCATGCAGCTCCGGCGCCGTGACCGTCTGGATGGGGAGCGTCTGGACAAACTGGGACCAAATCAGGCCCCCGCTCTCGTCAGAGTCGCTGGTGGTCGTGCTCTCCCCTACGAACTCCACCTCGCTCAGGCTTGACTCGCTGTCTCCAAAGCAGTTCGTCGTGTAGTTGCTCTGCTCGTCCTCGCTCGTGTCCACCACGGTGGAGTGGAACAAGGACTCGCACTCGGCCGAGTACTCCGAGTCGCTGGCCACATAGGCGTAGGGGCTGACGTAGGGCAGGGGCACCTGCGGGTAGACCCCCACGCCCTCCCGCCGGTTCCTCCTGGCCCTCCGCAGGGCCTCCTCGTAGGAGATCTCCGCCGACGACTTCCACCGGCGGTAGTCGGCTCGCTTGTGTTTCGGCTTGGCCACCACGACCTCTCGGCCGTGCCCGTGGGAGCGGAGGGCGGATCTGTGCAGGCCACCCTGCCGGCTGGGGGGACCCGGCTCCAGCGGCAACCCGCCACCTCTCTTCCCCCGGGACGAGGGCTTTTTCAGTTTCTTATTTGTATCCAACTCCTCGGGAAAGCGGCACTTCTTGCCCGCCGGTTTGGTTTTCTCCCGCAAGGTCTGCGAGCTGTTCTCCAGCCCGTTGGCGAGGTGGGACCTGTGTTTCAAGGCGGAGCTTTTCAAAATCTTGACGTTGCGGGTGCCCTTGTGCAGTTTCATGCTCTGCTGCTGGGCCGGGATGTACTGGGCGTTCACCAGCAGCCCGTCGTCCAGGCTCTGCGACGAAGAGCCCTCGCTTTTGAAATCCAGCGCGGGCCTCTCCTCGACAGCCGGCGATGAGGAGCGAGCTGCCTGCAAGCTGCTCTTCAGCAGGATCTTTTTGGGAGGTTGGCTGACCCTGTTCTCCGGCTGCAGCACCACGGGCTTCCCTGGGCTCTCTTTGGGAGACGCAGCGAAGAGCTGGCCGTTCTCCTTGGGCACATCCCCCGCTGTGGCCGCCGCGCTGCGGTTGAGCTCCGGCGGTGCCGCTTTGACGCCCCGTGGCAGGTGCTTGCTCTGCAGTTCCGTCGTTGTGCCGGGTGGGAAAGCTGCCGGCAAAGGTGCCTTCCTGCTCTCCAGCTGCTCGCCAGCCGGCTCCCTCGGCCTCTGCTTTAAGGGAGAGGGTGCCGTGTGGTCCACAGCGGGGGCCCCACCGGGAGGCAAACACACCTGCTTGGAGCTCTTCAGGCTCACGACGTTGCCGTGAGCCACCACGGCTGCCGGCTGCCTGACGCACATGCTCCCGTGCCTCAGGATCCCTTTGGTGGGATCGGCGTTGAGGCTCGTCCTGGGTTTGTTAGTCCTTACCGCGTGAGTCTTTTTCTGGACCAGGCTTAAGATGTAACTGTCTATCCTCTTGCTGGTGGCAGGGCAGGGCGCCGGCCAGGAGCTCTGCGGGAGGAAGGCGTTGGCGGATTGTCCCGAGTCCGTTTCCGACGGGGTGCAAACGTCGCTAATATCGCCACCGAGGAGCCTCTCCTCTTCTCGCTGGGGGTTCTCAGTCACGGGGAGGAGGAACATGGGGCTCTGCACAGCCACAGCGTGGAGCGGGCTGGGGTAGCGGTAGATGTCGTTCCCGTTTTTAGACACCAGATCGCACTGGTACTTGGGGTGTACATCTGCAACGACATCGAGGGAATTTGAGTGCGGTGTGGACAAAGAGCGACAGACAGAGCCTGCGGTCTGGTCCTCATGCTGGCCTTCCTTATTATAGTCCATCCAGCCTATGAGATCTGAAAGGCATTTTAGAAGAGTTTAGAGAGCCTGCCAGGGACAGCCGCGCTACGTTTCTAACGTGCTGCCAAGGACGCCGGTCCCATCTACGCACGCCACGCAACGTTTTAACTACAGCAGCAGCAACTTTGCAACCAAGGATGTGCCCCTCAAGCGATATAAAAGCAGCACTGCTCTTCTGTGGGGCTCTTTGTAACTGCGTCTACGTAGGAATTTGCCCCACTACGACCACGTGGTTAAAATAATAAAAATCACAGCCCTAGCGAGAAGTTTTACATTGGTTTCAAACCTTTGCCCAGGTTCTTAAGAGCTTCCTGTCTTACTTTCAAGCCACACAGAAGTGTGCAAGGGTCTCTCATATGCTACACATTCAGCTGTAAAACTCACTACACTCCTCAGCACGTATGAACTCTGTATTTTACTTCGCTAAATCCAAAGAGAAACAAAAAAAATATAGACTAGAGAACAGTGAATTCTAACCTATTGGCAAATTTCACTTCTGAATTCTTCCAAGCACGTCTTGGGTCAGAAAAAAAAAATCCAGATTTAATTTTATTGTTGTTGTTATTATCATCATTACTGTTATTACCACAATAATTATAATAATGCTAGTAATAATAACAGGTGCTCCTTTTGAGTGATAAAGGGTTCAAGAATAGTAAACAGGCTCATCTTTTCACACAAGTACAAGGAGTGCAGGTGAATCCAGCTGACATCCTAGCCTTGGCTCTGCAAAGAGAGTTCTGCAGGAGAAATCCAGTGCGTTTCAGGATGCATGAGTCAGATTTAATGGCTAAGGTGCTTACTGGGGAGGTAAGAGACCTTAAGAACAGGGCTTCAGCCCAAGCACCTAAGATTATTATTTTCTTAAGCTTAAGAAGTTGCCCTTGTCTGCTCGGGTAGGGGTACAATTTAAATGATCCCTCTAGATCTCTGCCAGTCCTGTTCTCTACCCTTGGGCTGGAAACTTCAGCCAGGGCACTCAAATTTGAATGCTCGGTGCTCATCACCTACTAAGGCTTATTTCAAAGAGGTCTCACAGGCACTGATGAAAGGAGCTGACAGAGATGATGATCCTGTGTGAGCAGGAGGGGAAGAAGAGGGAATTTAGGAGCATGAAGTTCCTCACAGTTTTCCCACTTTTCCTAAACTCTGTCAGAATCAGGAAATGTTGACAAAAAGACATCTTCGAAAAATGCCAGCTTTAGACACTGAATGTGAGAGAGTATGAATAGTAAGAGGTTTAGGCTTTCATGATCTGTACATAAAAATACGTATTGCAATGCAATCAGCTGGAATTCCTTGTGTACGTTTTTCTTATTATGCATGGCCCATGAAGCTCACATCCATCTTTACAACAGGGAGCATTAAATTACCTCAAGCTGCTCAAAGGGTAACTTAGAGGACTTGCCAGCATCTCAGAATTAATGTATCCAAAGCTGTGTTTTCCCACTTCGGAATTAAAAGAGCATGAATTATTCTGTACTTGATTCACAACAAATCACTGTAAGTTAACCTTAAAGAGCGGAGTGGAAATTGGAAACACTCTGGTTGGAAGCATCCTCCACAGCCCAGAATGAGCTAAGGCTTATGAATGAGTTATGTCTGCCCCCAATAATTCACAAAACAAGGGACAAAAAGTCCTGCTGAAGTGTCCTTTCTGGACAGCAGGCAGAGGAGCCCTTCCAATTTAACCATCCCACACATCAAGGCTTGCACTTCAGCCCAGTGTCCGAGGAAAGTCCACGGCTCTCTGCCAAAGAGACAAATTATTTCTTCTCTGTTCATAATGTCTATTTGTCTACACTTTATAAATGCAGGACACACCTCAGCATGGTCACCTGGGGGTTGAGGACCATCAGCACTGACAAAAATGTCTGCTACAAACAGACTGACACGCACCCTGGCCCCTTAAAACCTGTAGCTGCCTCCTTACTCTGCGACCGCAATGAGGATTTGACTGTGAGGTATCTTTAATTATCACAATCGACTAAAAATGCTTTCCTAAAGGAAACCACAAGAAATAAGCCGACTAATGTGTTTCTGTGCACAGGTACCACTGCCCTCTGCTGGGTGGAGCAGCTGTTATATCCTCCCATGTTCTTTTTCATGTGTTTGGAGTGACATATTCCCACGACAGGCTGGAGCAGTGGAGGGCCAGCAGTCCTGCCTCGTGACCCACGTACGTGTGAGAGGCACTGGAATCTTTTCAGAGCACAAGGTGTCACACGAAAGGAAGGAGGGTTAATCCAACCCAGGTACTCCTGAGGCAGTATTTCCAAAGCCAAAGCCACCTCCTGGAGTATGATGCATTCCACCTGCTTTTACTATACCTGCAGATTTAGGGCGTCCATCTGAGATATTCAGTGTTGCCTCCAAAGGGCTGCAAAAGCAAGTGCTAGAATGGCAACTGGATAAACACTCACTGAAGACAGAGTTAGATGAATTGGAAAGCGATCCAGAGGCTCCGTCACTCAGCTCATAAAACCCTACAAAAATAAAGAGTTTGGATTTGTATTAGTTATGTCTACACACAGTTACCATTTGTGTCCCTAGAAAGGCAGTCAAGCTCATGTTTGAGTTGGCTCTCCTCTGTTTTCAATTAGTTACGTGATTTCATTCAGTCACCCCCAAAACAGCCCCCAGTTCAGTAATACCCTCGTTGCCGAGAAGGATCCTGTTTAAAAGCAAAACACTTAAAAACAGTAAAAATTTTGAACTTTTTTTTTTTTTTTTTTTAAGCTTCACAAGAGTGGGGGTTTTAACCTTTACAGGGATTTTCAGATTTCAGCAATAAGGATCCAGGCTCTTTGATAGCCCACTCATAGTGTTATACTTCCAAGGTTCTCCAACTGTTACTTGACTACAAAAGTGTTGGGCCCAGTGCTATTGACTATTTTCCTCAGAGTTCTGAGGATAAATGTAATATTTGCGAATGACAGGAAAGAAGAAAAATGGTAAATAATGTGCAGACACATAAAACTGGTAATGTTTCCTGGTAAACTGGGACTACCCAAGAAAAAAATGGCATGCCACAACCAAAATTGAAATTGCACGTTTAGGAATGAGGAATGCAGGGCATGCCTACAGAACGGGGATGCATCCTGGAAAACAATAATCCTGGAAAGGGCTTAGTCAGCGTGGAAAAGCAGCTCAATCAAGCTTAATGATATGGCAAAAAAAAAGCTAATGAGATTGTTGGATGTACAAAGAGACTAATGAACAGCAGCAGGGAAATGACTTCAGCAGCCCATACAGCACTGGTAAGAAAGACATTGGAATGGTGAGCCCAGTCCTTGAATCCAGCACGCTTTAAACAGAGCTAAAAAAGCTGGAAAGAGGCCATCAAGCTATTTAGGAGCTTGGAAAAATGCCTTCAAATGAATGACTTCATGAACTTGACTTGTTTAGCTCATCAAAAAAAAAAAAAAAAAAAAAGCCAGGAATTATACTGTACAGCAACTCCAAGAGGAGGAAAAGCTGTGCACTAGAAGAGACCTTTCTTTAGGAGAGAAAAGGTTATTAAAAAAAAAAAAATCAGTGCTGGAACAAGTAAAATTCAGACTAGAAATTAGCAATGACTTCAACAGTTGCAAGTTGGTGGATTCTCTACTTTTTAGCACTTTTAGAACAAGTCTAGATGCCTCCAGGAAAAGCTCCCCATAGTTAAATACCACTTACTGGCTTCAACACAGTTAGAATGAGATGAAATTCAATATATGGGGGATCAAATTGTTTTATTCTATGTTGCCTTCTGGCTGTAGGATCAATTTTGACACATTCCCCCTGCTGGTGGTGCTTCCTTTCAGCATTTTTTTTTTTCCTGCAGCCTCCTTCCTAACATGCAGGACAATTAGAACTTCTTGAGCTAATTTGAGGGTGCCCTTAAAAAAAAAAAAAAAAAAAAAGCCTCAAACACTAAAAATCTAATTAAGCTTGAGATGCCCCTTTTCAGTGGTAGATGAAGTCTGCTGGTAGGAACTAATTATCAGAGTGTGAACACGCTGTAGACATTCACTGCTGTACTGCTGGAAACTACAGCATGAAAAATCAAAGCCAGTTTAATTCCAGGTCCCAAGGGAGGCTCAATTTTGCTGAGCCCTCACCTGAACTTGGACGACTGTCTGTCTCAAGGTGTTCGTCTGTTGTTTTTTCCACGTCCAGGCGGAGATCACTTATTTGCTTATCCAGCTCTTGTAACTGATTTAATAAGCCAGCATCCCTCCTCCTCAAGCAGTTCTGGAAAACAACAAGAAGATGAAGAACATCAGCTCCTTCAGGAGGGGTTCCGAAGACGGGCTTCTCCACCTGAGCATCGTGGGAGTACCTTGTCAATATTCTTTTATTAAAAACAAACAAACAAACAAAAACACCCTTGAACAAAACCCCGAAATTTTAGATGGACGCTCTGGATAAAATATTTCAGTGAAGAATTATGCAAGCACTTCATCCCAGCCTCTTCCAGCCAGTTCTGCGTAAGGAACACGCTCCAGGATTCGGGAGGACCAACACTCCGCGCTGACCGCAGCTGTACCAACAAAGCCGCGTTGTGTGGCGGGGTCAGAGCAGACCTGGGCACACGAAACGGGGCTGGACAGCTGTGCCAGCCTAGCAGGGCACGTTCAGCACCACAGTGGTGTTAGTCAAAGATCACATCTGCTCGCACAATGGGACGAAGCAGCTCTGCCAACAAGTGCCTGTAGTGTGGGAACCGCCTTGTTCTGCTGCACATTATGAGCTTATAGTGTGCCATGCAGAGAGCGAGATTCCCAGGGCTGGGATCACAGCCCTTTTATTAGTTTTTGCAGTGCAGCAGGAAGGAAGAGTAATTCTTCCCCTTCTCCCACTACAATTGTGTAAAACTGCTGCGAGATGAATTTTTGGGCTATTTATGAAGGTAATTTGATGGCATAAAATAAGCAGTAAGAGACGATTTTGCAAGGCACTCATTAACCCACGGTCAACACAATCAGTTTCCCCGAGTGTATTATAATGCTGCTTATCCATCACCTGTTCAGCTTCATACCCTTTAATTGCTTTGGCTTTGGGGAAAGTGGAGGAGGCAGGAAGAAGGTTCATCTACTGTTTCTTTGAGTGCATCATTTGATCCGCACACAGGGGGTGCTCTGACACACTCAGCGCAAGGAGTTTTGATGATCAGAGCTGGACTAGTTCTAAGCCTGTTAAATCCAGGGCAACCTTTCCCCTTTGGTGGGCCAGTCATAGAATCACAGAATCCCTGAATGGTTTGGGTTGGAAGGGACCCTAAAGCTCATCTCTTTCCAACCCCCTGCCACGGGCAGGGACACCTTCCACTAGACCAGGTTGCTCCGAGCCCCGTCCAACCTGGCCTTGGGCAAAGGGAGAGCAAATGCAAAAAGCGCCGGCAAGGCTGCTTGAAGATGTGCTGGCCTTTAAGACCATCCTCGAAGAACCCAAAGGGGCGATTCCAGGTTTTCCCCCACATTTCTGCGGGAGCCGGGGCTGGCTGGCAGCCAGGCTGGAGAAGGTGATGGGTTCAAGGAGTGACTTCGCTGCGCCACCTACTGCCACCAGCGCCCCCTCCCCCAGCCAGCACCGCATCTGGTTCCAATCTCCAATGTCAAGTGCACAAATTAAAGTGCTACCACAAATCCCCGGGGTTTTTTTTTGTTTTGTTTTTTTGTTTTTTTTTTTTAGTAATGATTCCCTGGTCCTTCACTACGGCTCTCGGCCGCCAGCCAGCCCCTTCTCAGCAGAAAAAAAAATCATTAATTTTTTATTTTTTAAAGAAGGAAATAATCCTAAATTAACTAAACCGAAAGGCTAATAGGAATAATGAAAAGGGAGCGGGGGGCAAAACAGCGGGGTGGGGGAAAAGAAGAAATCAGGGAAATAAATCACGCAATCCAACTTCTCTCTGGGTGAAAGCAAATGCTGAGCCGCGCACAAAGAGCGCCAGGCACAGCTGTACGCTATTTTCATTGAAAAATGATCTGCCGCTTCATGCCGCCCTCCGTCTCTTCCCTCACAAGCTCCAAAGCACGTCCTTCAACAAAAGCATCCCTTCTTTACGCGCCCGATCCTGCCGGTACCCGAGCGCTCGTAACCTCCGCTCGGGGCTGGGACCCGGGAGCTGGCTCCCAACTTCCATTCATGGCAACGGCAGCGCCTCTCTTGCCTTGAATGGAAGTGGGACCGCCGGTCTGGCTCCGGGAAACGAAGGGAACTGTGCGGCCACCGGCAAAACGCCGGTAAGACCCGAGCTGTCACCGGCCCGCCGCCTCCCCTGCGCCGTGACAGCGGGGCGGGGGCGCTCCCCGAGGGGGTCCCCGGCTCCTTCCTCGCCCTTCCACGGGCAGGACCCGCGGGTCACACCGACGCGCGGGGAACCGAGCGGGCGCGCATCCCTCGGCGTTCCCCTCCCGCATCCCCCGGCGCTCGCCACCCTCAATCCCCGGCGCTGTCCGCCCGCATCCCGCGGCGCCCCCCGCCCCCGCTCACCAGCTGCCTCCGCAGGAGGAGGATGTTCTCCTCCAGGAACTTCTCCTCCAGGCTGCGCGGCGGCGGCCCCTCTCCCGGCGCGTCCCCGCGGCCGCCCTGCGCCCCGGGCGCCGCTCCCGCCGGCCGCCGCAGCAGGAGGCTCTTCACCAGCAGCTCCTGGCGCTGCCGCAGGTACTCCAGCTCGCCCAGCCCGGCCAGCGTGGCCTCCAGCCGCTCCCGGGTGCGCTGCCGCTCCGCCTCCGCTTCGCCCTTCTCCCTCCAGCGCGCATCGGGCTCCCGCGGTGCCCCCGCGGGTCCCCCCGCTCCCGGTGCCGCTCCCGGTGCCGCTCCCGGTGCCGCTCCCGGTGCCGCTCCCGGTGCCGCTCCCGGTGCCGGCCCCGCCGCCGGCGCGGCGCCCGCGGGGCTCGGCTTCATGTCCGAGGAGGGGGCGGCCGCCGCTGACAGCGCTGCCCGCGGGGGGCCCGGCGCCGCTCAGAGCCCCGCAGCCTCCGCCGCTGCCGCCGCCGCCGGTCGCGAATGGTCCGCGGGGCGCCCGACTCCCTCCCCGCCTGCCGCCGCCCCGCGCCCGCCCACCGCCCGCCTCCAGCCCTCCTGCCCTCCTTCCCTCCCGCCCTCCTCCCCGCCCGCCGCAGGATCCACGCCCGCGGTCCCCCTCCCGCCTCGTCCTCCTCTCCTGCTATTCTCGCCTCCGCCGTCCGCTCGCCGCGGGAAGGTGGGGTGCGCCGGGGGTGCGAACCGCTGACCTTCCCAAAATCTGCCCTCTGGAGCCTTGCACGGCGTAGTCACAGGGCATCACAGAATAACGACGGCATTATCGTTGTAGAAGCACGGAATGGTTTGTATTGGAACGGACGTTGAAGACTGTCCAGTTCCAGCCCTGTGCCATGGGCAGGGACAGCTTCCACTAGACCAGGTTGCTCAGAGCCCCGTCCAACCTGGCCTTGGACACTTCCAGGGATGGGGCAGCCACAGCTTCCCTGGGCAACCTGTGCCAGGGCCTCACCACCCTCACAGCCAAGAATTTCATACTAATATATGATCTAAACATGCCTTGTGTCAGCTTAAAGCCAAATGCTGTTGATACAGACGGACACATCCAAAACAGGAGCATAAATGGTGCATCTGGGAAAAAAAAAAAAAAAAGATCCTGGCATGAAAAGGTTAGGATTTATTGAGAGGGCAGGGAAAGGTGGAAAGCAGAGGAGAACAGGGCCATCCTTACACTGAGGTGCTGACCATAGCACAGGCACCAGGATCAAAGCACGGGTGAGGTGTTGCTTCAAAGCCCGTACGAGTGAAGTAGCCAAAAAAAGCCATAATGAAAGTGAACTTCGTAGCAGCACGTAGACTAATTGCAGCAAAGGGATCTGCAATTAGGTTTTCAATGGGTATGTGGTGGAAAGAGGCAGGGGGGTGGAATGCAGATGCAGAAGGGAAAAAAAAAATGTTAGTATCAAAATAGAGCAAAAAATTGAATTGCAGACGTGTACTGAGTGGGGGGAATGGACAGACACAGGCATTGAGGGAGCCCTTCACAACATGGGGGTTTTTTTGGGAATGTGTGAGCCCACCGTCCAGCAGCTCTCACGGACGTTATGAGCATAATGAAATGCTTTATCCCTGTTCCTCAGAAGATTATGAGTGTTTGTGACAGGTCTCAGATGAAATTTGTCTCCCTGCTCCCATGCTGTTTTCAGCACACAATACACGGTGGTGTGTCGTGCACCTGCATTACCTGCTGTAGGGGTTGGCCCTTGTCCTGAGAGCCCACAAAGATCTTCACTTCACAGTCTTCTGAAAGTGCTTTCAGTAAAGGAGATCCATTTCCTCTTGCAGCTTATAACCAGCCCTCGGTCCCTCCCAAATGTAGGTGAGAGCACACGCTCAGAGGATGGTTGAAGCTGAAGCCAACACCGAAGCCAACACCATTTCTTTTTGCTTTTGATCTCTTCCCAGAGCTGCTTCACCCCACTCTGTGTCAGCACAGGGCATCCACAGTCATCTTTCGGTTTGGATTGGGAGTGACTTCTTGAAGGGTCTCTCCAGATCATTCCAGCTGTGACTTGCATCACAGAGGGATCTGAGAACAAATGGACTGAGCTGATTTGGGGGGGGGGGAAACAAAAGCAGATGAAGGGAGCACTCATAAAGCACTCCAACCACCAGTGGATGCTCACTAATAGACATTCAGTGGGATGAGAATACTACTAGCCCAAAGTAATGCCCTTGAAATGCATGCAGTGTGGATGCAGGTCCTCAGTGCAGCCCCTACTGCTTTGTAAATCCATACCTGCTGTGCTCTCCCGGCTCCTGATCTGCCAGCAAAAGGGGGAAGTGAGGTGGCACAGGAATAAGCAGCCAGAGAAGGCAAGGCCACTTCTTTGGGGAGCAATGTCACTCCTGCCAGATCCCAGAGCCCATGAAACTGGAGCCACAGAGCGAACTGCCAGACACTGAAAGGACAAGGGATGCCCCAAGGGCAGAGGTCTGCCTGAGGTTGCTAAGCAAAACTGGAAATAAAAAGTAAGTCTCATACTGGATCACTGTCTCTCTGCTCATTTTATGTATCTGGACCCATAAAAGGCCCAGAAGTAGGTTCAGCCCCTGCCCCACAACCTTTAGGCCATCCCTGCTGACCTAAAAATCATCCCCATGGCTTTGCCTCCTACGTGGAACTTGGTTCACGGCACCCCTGAGCATGTTTATGCTGAAAGCTGTATTGCAGTGCAGAGTTACTTTCCCAAAGGGGTACCAGAAGCTCTCCAGATATGGAAGCAGAGGCTCCCACATTTTCCTTCACCCTTTCCAGCCAGGTTTTGCATATAGCTCTGTGCCTCGTATGCATTTGTACACAAAGCTTCATGCAATATTTATGCAAAGCTATTTCAGCTCTTTCTGAGCTTTTGTGCACTGTACAATGTAGCCATGGCTTCAAAAAGAAATTACAGCTTAAGAAAATCTGTCTTAAGGTTCAGATTTTTTGTATTTTTCCACTTACCACCTGGTAGACTTCAGTCCAGTTCCTCCCTCCCGAATCACCTCTTCCACTCTGAGGAGTGGAAGGTGCTGCTTGTCTCCTCCTGGACTTCCTTCTGGCACCTCTGTGTTCATCCTTCGCAGTGCATCAGTTCCAGGAAGGAAAAGAAACACAGAAACTGTCACAACAGTCAACTCCCTTCACCACGTGGGGAAGAGAACTCAGCTTCAACTGAACCAGACTCACTGTGGGGGTAGAACGAGCAATAAGGAAGGGAAGCAGGATCTGATGAAGAGCCACCCATAGAGGAAGGAATAAGGTGCCAGAGAAGCAGTGGGAATGGGGAGGTTGGACAGCACGGGAAGAGATGTGTGAGTGAGCTGCCAGCAAGAAATCTCAGTTTATGAGAATAACAGAAGGAAAGCAAGGTGTGACCTAAGACAAAACAAGTGGGGGGGGCACAGAGGCTATTTGAGAGCCAGGATGCAGCTCAGCAGAGTGTAGGTAATGGAGATAAGGGGAGGGAGAGCCTGGAAAGGCAGGGTGTGAAGGCAGTAGAAAAAGCAAAGAGAACGACCAAAAAATACAGACCCTTTAATTCACACCACAGTTGATCATCCTAATGAAAAACCAGTCTGAGATAAGAGGGAGGCCCCAATCCCCATATTAGCTCTGACTGGGCAACCTTTGGAGGCCTCTATCTCAGCAAACCAAACATCTCAAAACCCTTAGCAAGGGCTGAGTAATAGGACTCTCAAACGAAAAAAGTCTCCGAGTCCAGAACTGTCTTCCCCTCCTCTCCTGGCTTATGGCCACAGCTGAAGGATTTGATCTTTTATACTCCTTTGTGAGGTTGCTGTTCCTTCACTGAAATTCCTTCATCAGCTGAAATTCCCCCCAAACAAATAATCCCAGATTCCCCATCCTGAACTCAAACACAGAAACAGCAAGAGGGGAGGCAGTGAGTTATGTGCAAGGAAGGAGAAGAGCTGGTGATTGAGGAGCTCTGTTGCTAGGATGTTGTGAGAGATGTAATTCTGTCTGGTACAGAGGCGGGTATGAAATGGCTCATCTCTTATGATTATCCTGGCTCATCTCTTATGATTATATTATTAAGTGGCAGAAATGCTGTGTTTCTTCACATTTCATGTGTAGGGAATGAAGAGATGGTCCCTGCACCACTGAGCTTACAAGACAAGAAAGACTTAAGTGGCTGCCTCTGGTAGTACAAAAAGGAGCTTTGAGAAAGTCATGGTTGGCGTGATGGACAGCGAATCCCAAACACTCAGGCAAGGGGAAAGAGTTTCTGACCCCCATCTCACCATTCATTTCCTTCCCACTGGGGGTGAACCCCCATATCCCAACTCCCACGTTTGCCTTTCCCTCTTCCACCCCTGCTGACCATCCAATTCAGTTCAGATTAAACGGGGCCAACTTACACTTGTTGCTTTTCCAAGATTCATTTCTGGTCTGTCACACTGAGTGCAATAGATTGCAGGAATTGAGGAACATGACAGTTCCCTGCTTGTGAAATGAAAGCAGACCCTTTCCTTGCTCACTGAAACACAGCCCACTGACTGCACAGTGACACATCCACTTTGGGACTGTGCTTAAGACCCACAGCTGTCACTACACCTCTGATACTTTATTTTAATCTGCTCTAATGTTAATTTTCCGAGCATTTCTTAATTGCATTGGATAATATAACAGGGTATAAATCTTATCAGCAAATCAGCCTGGCAGCAGCTTGTGTTATCTTATTACCATGGTTACATTATTATTACAAGTGAACCTTGTGCTCATTACTAACCACAAGCAATTCCAGCAAACAAGCTAAACTGAAGCAAAATATCCTGGCTGGTGTTTCCATTTTTTGTCCAACAAAACTCATTTCTCTGGGTGCTAGGTAACAGCAGCATACCTACCATGTACTCTCAGCCTTCTGCATTTATTTACTTGCATTTGTACAGCGCTGAAACATTTCCGTGCTGTCAACAAGGTGCAGAGGCCAAGTTCTTTAAAAGTGGGATAGGATCTTTCACACAAAAACTGACGATATTCAGATGACAAGCACTGCCCCAGCCTGTCAAAACATTACCACGTTTGTGCTGCTGTGGGCAAAAACTGCGAGTGACTTCCACATTAGGGACCACTGACAGCTTGATTAGGTCCCTCGAGGGACCGGTTTCCCCTTGCTCTGATCTGCTCTGACTGTGGTGTCCCATCAAAACACACAGCCCATGTTCCCCTGACCCCCAGTGCCACTGCCCACGTGCCAGGTGAAGGGACAGACACTTCCCTTGGGGTCACTGCAATGATCTGACTCCCCCCACATGATGTAGGAGAGGGTTAGGGATCCAGGGAGGACAGTGATGCCATCCCCTACTCTGCTCCAGACTGTTTGTTTGGGCATTTCCTACATTTGGGTGTTTCTCTGCTGCAGATCATTGTCCCAACAGCTGTGCGGGGACT